GGTCCTAGGGCAGGCCCCGACACACATTGGGTCCGGTCAGATGAAGAAACGGAGGGGGCCGTGACACCACATCAGACACTTACGGGACCAGGAAGACCAGAGGAGACGCCCCACTCCCCTCATCTATTCTTGGCCTACATGGTTTCTCTCATCTGGCCCCAGAATGGCCGGAGAGCCACTCCCAGTGGAAACCACAGTTTGGGTTGGAAGAATTTCTTCTGCAGTTTCCCTGGGGCCAGGCCCACTGGCCTTGGAAACTGCCTTAGCGTTATTTAAACTGCAGAACAGAGTCTATGGGCAGCTCTGACCGGACCCGGGTGGGGGCGGCCTGGATCAGGATTACGTTGGAGCCTCCCTCCCCCGACCGCCAGGACCTCAGGGGTTGAGATGTGTGGTTCTGTCTTCGCAGCCTCTTGCTGTCGTGGAAAAGAACAAGGGGGTTAAGGTATGTGGCAACCTGAGCCTGTTATGTTTATGTTTCTGCTTTAATATGGAGACTGGGCTTTGTCCTGAGTTGAGGCTGAGGTCCTCAGAGGCCCTGCCAGCAGGCTCCCAGCCAGAGCTGGCTAAAGCTGGAGGAGCCCCGCTTATCTCAACCATCTCTCCCAACTCACCAGGCATCTTACTTCAGGAAACTTGCTGGAGTGCTTGAAAGCCCCAGGATCTTTGCTCGACCTGCCCATCCCTATCTTCGGAGCAGAGGACTCTAGGCTGCTGGCAGGGACTCTGCCACGGCAGGCAGCTCATGCTTTTCTTGGCATCCTAAAGGGCACAGCCTTGGTGTGCCCACCGCAGAAACCAGAGCCTGGAATAGAAGCGGGGATACCTGAAAAAGTCACCCAGATTTCAGCCCAATGTGGTCTGTTCGTGGTCAACAAATATTTACAGAGGGTTAATTAGGCACAGCACTGGGCATGGGGTCTCCAGATGTGAACAAGCCCCAGCCCCGCCCTCAAGCAGTCCACTGAGCTCAGGAATAGGAATACAGAAGAGGGGGCCTGACCTAGCCTGGGTGAAGGCAAGTTCAGGGAAGCCTGCCTGGTGGAGGTGCCATCTAAAGTAAGACTTGGAGCGGGGCTCAGTCGGTTAAGCATCTGACTTCAGCTCAGGTCATGATCTCACGGTTTGCGAGTTGGAGCCCTGCGTCAGGCTCTGTGCTGACAGCTTGGAGCTTGGAGCTCGTTTGGGATTCTGGGTCTCCCTCTCTCTCTGCCCCTCCCTTGCTGTCTCTCTCGAAAAAGACAAAAAATTGAAAAAAATAAAGACTTGAAGCCTGAATTAGTCAAAGGCGGGGGGCGGCGGGGGGAGAGAAGAGCAAACAGCATATGCAAAGGCCCGGGGTCAAGAGAGAACCTGGCACTTTGGGGGAAGTTATGCGTCGTTCAAGATGGCTGGGGCCTGATGAGGCCCGAAGAGGTGGTTTGAAGATCCGGATCGTGAATAACATGAATGTATTTAAAGTGCTTGGCACAGCCCACAGCAAATACTCTGCCATGGCAGCTGTCATTATCATTATGGTGTTGTAAACCAAGCTAAGGGTTTGGGACTTTATCCTGCAGTCAGTGGGGAGATATTCAGGGGCTTTAAGCCCAGGGTGACTTGATCAGATGTGCCATATGACCAGACCTAAGGAGATCTCTGTGACTACAGGGTGGATTGTGGAGTAGGAGAGAAGCAAGGCATTCATTCATTCATTCACTCACTCAAACATGTAAAGAATCAGTGAATTATTAACTTGTTATTTATTTAAATATAATTGTTTTGTTATTATTATTAAACATCTGTAATAATTCAGAAAGGAGATACAGGGTTGAGGGAGCAGTTTCAAATATCCCAACAGTAGAATAGATAAATATACATTGGAAGACAGAATACAGCAATGAGAATGAACTACAGCTACATGCAACAACATAAATGAGTCTCACAAGTGCAATGTCGAGCAAAAGAAAGCCAACACAATATATAGAACTGCGTAATTCCATTTAAATGAAGTTCAAGGAACAGGCAAAGTGAAATTATAGTGTTTAGAGACACCCAGTGGTCAAACTATCAAAGAAAGAAGTGATTATCACAAAATTAACAGTGATTGATGATACCCTTTTTTTAAAAAACGTTTTAACATTTATTTTTGAGAGACAGAGAGAGAGAGACAGAGCATGAGCAGGGGAGGGGCCGAGAGACGGGGAGACACAGAATGTGAAGCAGGCTCCAGGCTCCGAGCTGTCAGCAAAGAGGCCGACACGGGGCTCGAACTCACAAACTGTGAGGTCATGACCTGAGCTGAAGTTGGACACTCAACCGACTGAGCCATCCAGGTGCCCCTGGGCTCGATGATACCTTGACCTGAGTGATGTTCACCTGGGTGTTCACTCTGTGACAAATCACTAAGTTTTACATTTCTCTCTCTCTTTCAAGGAAGTTTCACGCGCAGCGCAGAACCCAACGCAGGCCTGATGCAGAGCCAAACTCACCACCCTAAGATCAAGACCTGAGCCAGACGCTTAACCGACTCAGCCACCCAGGTGGCCTTTACATTTCTGTTTTGTGCACTTTTCTGTATGTGTGCTACTCTCAACAACAAAAAAGTGTTTCAAAAATAATGGGGCTTGCTCTAAGGTAGCAGGAATGAGGTTGGAGAGAAGAGGCTGATTTTGACTGTTGTGCAGAAAGTGAGAACAGGAAGGTGAGGGATCCTTTGGGAGGAACGAGTCTGGGGAGGGAGGTGAAAGCAAAGAGCAGTGTTTAACACTGAGTTTGAGACCTGGAAGATACTGCAGTGGAAATGCCCAGGACCATTGTGTGAGCTCAGGAAAGTCACTTTCTCAAGTTCAGAGTCCCTTCTCCACAAGAGAGGGAAGCAGTGTGGCTTCATGGAATCAGCTGTGGGTTTTAACGCTGGGAACCTTCGTCTTTAAAACCGCAGTTCTGGAGGCACCTGAGTGGCTCAGTTGATTGAGCGTCGGACTCTTGATTTCAGCTCAGGTCATGATCTCACAGTATGTGGGATCGAGCCCTGCATTGGGCCCTGAGCCGATAGTGCAGAGCCTGCTTGAGAATCTCTCTCCCTCTCAATAAGTAAACATTAAAAAAAAAACAAAAAGAAAAAACCAGTTCTGATACTTCATATAATTACTTGACCCCTGCCCCTTCCCCCAGCCTCAGTTTCCTCACGTGTGGACTTGAGATAATCATTTCTACTCTCATAGTTCTTGGAAAGGGTTACATGGTAAAACAGGGATAGGCACTTGGGATGCTTGGTGCTTTAGTTACCAATTAAGAGACTCTGAGAAGCAAATTAACGTACTTTGAAAGCAAAAAAACAGGAACAGATAGCAATCAGTACATGGTTTTCACACTCCTGTGTTAATAAGTACTAGCTGGGGAGCTTGCAAAACTAGGCCTTTTGGGGACGCCTGGCTGAGCGGAGCTTGAGACTCTTGATCTCGGGGTTGTGATTTCAAGCTCCACATTGGGTGTGGAGATTACTTAAAAAAAAAAAAATCTTAAGAACAAAAACTAGGGGCGCCTGGGTGGCGCAGTCGGTTAAGCGTCCGACTTCAGCCAGGTCACGATCGCGGTCCGTGAGTTCGAGCCCCGCGTCGGGCTCTGGGCTGATGGCTCAGAGCCTGGAGCCTGTTTCCGATTCTGTGTCTCCCTCTCTCTCTGCTCCTCCCCCGTTCATGCTGTCTCTCTCTGTCCCAAAAATAAATAAACGTTTGAAAAAAAAAATTAAAAAAAAAAAAGAACAAAAACTAGGTATTCTGTAAATCTAGAGTGACCGTATAATTTATTGTCCAAACCAGGGCGCTTTTGAGAAAGGATGCAATATTAATAATTATGCCAGGACAACAGATATAAACTATCCCAGGGAGAGCAGGACATCTGGTCCCCCCTATGTAGGTCTATGGTGGGCACCAGGCATCTGATATCCCATCAAGCTTCCCAAGTGAACTGGACTCTCTGTAAGGGCAGGATTTGGCTGCACTTACCGGGCCTATCCGGAGCAGGTGTATTTGGGGAAGGCTCAAATCTACTTGGAGAAACCCTCACAACCCCGTGAGACGTAACAGCTAACATTTATTAAATGCCAGGTCCCACACGTGCTGAGTACTTTACAGACTCCATCTCAGTTCTCGCCGGGTGGACCTCTCTTCCATTACAGGAAACTACAGCTTAAAGATGTCGAACAACTCCTTCAAGGCCACACGTCCAGGGCGGAGGATACAGGTCTGAACCAGCCAGACTCATGAGCACCCTAGTTCATACTATTTGCCTCGCGTTTTGCTGACACTCCCCCACCCCCACCCAGCTGCACGGGGCCAGGCATCATGCACACCGGAGGCTGCGCGCAGCCCAGCCCGGGTACCTGCAGTCTCTGGTTCCACTTGGGAAATGCAAGGCGAACGGCAGATGGCAACCTTGTGTTCGTCTCAAGCCACTGTTGAGGTCAGTTTACTAAGGAGGCCCGACGGAGGTGGGGCTATTGAGTCGTTTGACAGCCTCTGCCCAAGAATCCTGTAGGGAGCCGCGCGTAGGGGAACCTAGCAACTGTATCTCCTGCTGGGTATTTATGGCTGGTCTGAGGTCTCAGTGAGGCTTTGCACCGCAATTAGTAGCCATAGGTAGGTCAGTGTTGGAAGAGCCCCACTGATGCATTTTAGTTGCATTCCTAACTTCGCCAAAGCCACCTTTATTATGGCTCCCACGGCTGTTTTAAGTTTCTTCTACCCAGGAACACTTGTAACTTGTGAAGCCTCATCCTGGGAGAAGATTCGATTTGCATGCAGCCTCGACATAGAAAATGGCTGGAAAATATTCTTGACAGATGCTCAGAGAGGGTAAGCGACTGGACATCAATGACACAGCCGCGCCGGAACTAGGACCCAGGCCCCGGCTACGCCCAGAGCTGCGTCACCACAACCCCGCCCCCGGGCCGGCGTCTTTGCCGAGCGCCCGCAGGTTCCCAGCCCGCCCCGCGCCCCCCGGTGCGCACACTCAGTTCGGCCCCGTAGGTGCACCTCCCACCTAGGTCCTCCAGCCCCAGCGGGTGTGCTCGCGGGGGAAACAGAGGCAGGGAGCGTGCTTGTGAGTTCGTTCCTTCCTCAGTTCACACCCCCACAGCCCGCAAAGCTGCCCTGCCCTCCTGAGACCCGTATGGAATAGCAGGGAAGGACGGGAGGAAGGGAAGGGGCCGAAAGCAAGCAGACTCTGAAGAGTCGGCCGGTTCTGCCACACTCAAGATGGCGGCGCGGCAGCGGCGAGGTCCCTCAGAGGCGGTACCGGCGCATGCGCAGCGCGGAGTCCCGGCCCGGGACACAAGATGGCGGCAGCGGCGCTGGGGAGGGCGAGGCGGAGGCGGCAAAACGGGAGGTCGAGCAGAACGTGTAGCCGCGTCCCCTCCAGTCCGCTCCGGGCAGGTAAGAGCCCCAGGAAGCCATGGTCCCGCCGCGAGCCGCTCCGGGTTCCGGGGATCCGAAGCCGGGCTGCGGTGGCCCCTCCGGCGCTTTCCGCTCGGGGCCACCGCTTGCCCTGTCTCTGCCGCCGCCGCCATCTTAGGCCCGCGGGTGGGCGGCCGGGCCGGTAGCTTGGGTGAGGGAGGTGGGCCCGGAGAGCGCGGGCGGAGCGGCCTCTAGGGCCCCTCCGCCGCTGCCGCCGCCACCGCCTTTGTGTCGGGCTCCGACTCTGAGTCGCCTCAGCCCGGGGGCGGGAGCGCGCGGTGGGGCGGGGGGCGGAGCCCGGGAGATGGGCCGGCGCGCGCGCGCCAAACAGCCCGCCCCCGCTGGGGTTTGGGGGGAGGGGAAGGGAAAGGGTGCGCGCGCTGGCGGGGGGGGGGGTGTAGTCCCCGTCTCTTGTGGCCCCCGCGCCTGCGCATTTTGCAAGTTCTTTGACTCCGCCCTATTGGTTTGGAGGGTTCTGATTGGCACATTACTGAGATGGTCCCGCCCCGTCTTCCAATCCCGTAACCGGGTTCTTTTCCTTCAGGTGGGTTCCTCCGGTTGCGCAGATACAGTTGTTTATTAAGCTGATCGGCACTAACTGTGGTATGCGAGGGGCCGGGAAACCTCAGGATAAATAAAAACGTTATCTTAATAATAGAGTTATTTCTTACTTAAAGTGTACAATATACTAGACTCTACGTGTAGAGACCATAGAGATCGAGTCATTCCTGTTTGTAAGTCGGAACGCGCGGCAGAAGGATCTGGACCCCGGGTCTGTCCACACCCAGAGCAGGTTCTTTGGCCACCAACCCGCTGCTTCCAAATCACCTGGGAAATTAAGAAAAAAGTTTTAATCGTAAAAAATTGGAAAAGGTTTGAACTGGTGTAAAATTTGTCATCCTGTTTCCCAGTCCCACCTCTGGAGTGCGTTTAAAAAAATACAAATTCTTGTGTGTCTCCCTTCTCCATTTCTGACTCCTACGATGTGAGGTGAGGGACGGGCGGGAATCTGGATTTCTATTACAGGCCCTCTGATGGCTGTGATAACGGGTTTTGGAAACACTGCAGTGTCCCTGTTTGGCCTCACCGAGCTGGGCTGCATGTGCTGCCTGTGCATGGTTCAGCTACGTGGTGCCTCAACGTCACACGATATTTATTGGCAAAATACTTTTCAATAAAGTTGAACATGCCAAGTTATGTAATGCATTTGCATGTAACGTGTTAAAAGATTGATTCCAAGAAACGTGTTTTTTGTGGCCTCTGATCTGTGATAAGTACAGTTGACCCTTGAACAACACAAGAGTTAGGGGCACTGATCTCCAGTGCAGTGGAAAATCCCAGTATAACTTTGGACTCCCCAAAATTTCACTAATAGCCTGCAGTTAACCAGAAGCCTTTATGGCAACATAAGCAGTCGGTGAACACATGTTTTGTATGTTATATGAATTATATACTGTATTTTTAAAATGAGCTAGAGCAAAGAAAATGTTAAGAAAATCATAAGGACAAGTAAATACATTTATAGCGCTGTATCATGTTGAAAAAAAGCCATGTGTAAGTGGACCCATGTGGTTTGGACCCATGTTGTTAAGGGACAACTATATGTTCACTTTTATCTTAGGGATATTTTGGTTGATAGGAGCAGCTACACAATTTGTGGGGTCCCGTGTGCAAAATGAAAATGTGGGTCCCCTCTGTTAAAAATTTATTTAAAATTTCAAAGACAGTAACAGTGGAGCATTAAACCAGGCTTAGGGCCCTCCTCATCCCGGAGCCCATGTGACTTCAGGCGGCAAGTCCGTGAAATGTTTTGGTTTGGGAACCTTGAGAAGTACCATTTCATCCCTTGAATCCCCAGATCTCCCACAGTGTCTCCTGCCTTGTCCTGGGGGCTCCCAACTTGCTGTGTCATTGCCCCTCTTATTTTGTCCCTGCTGTGCAGCATTTCACAGGTCTGTGACTCTCTCTTCTATTTGCTCTGCAGTTGCTGATGCGAGGAGGTCCCTGGGCCCCCGTTCACTCCACTGCTGACCCGGCCACCCACCTGTGCTGAGCCTTCCTGCAGGCCTCCCCCTGCCTCTGTTGGACCCTGTGACGTGGGGGTCCACCTGGTTGGAGAAGAAAACCCTCTCATGCTAGCATTGCAGACCCCAGAGGGTGAGAAAAAGAGGGACCTAGTCCAGCCTTGAGACCTGTGGGCTCAGCCCCAAGGCATCGGGAATCCCTCCTACCCAGAGAATCAAGCTTTTTCTCCCCTTGGTTAGTGGTTCCGAACCTTTTTGTTATCATGGCCCCCTTTGGTTGTATGTATGTCCTCTTGCTCCGTGCATTTTTTATCTGCCAAACTGTACTGACAAAGTAACCATTCACTTTTCTCTTTCCAAATTAACAAAGACATCTATGACTGAGTGTACAATAAAATTAATGTCCCAGTGATTCCTATGATGTCGTCAACAGCCAATCAGAGCTTCTGATCAGCATGAGATAATCAGTGTGACCACAAGGAGTTGATAAAATGTCAGCAAGCAAAGATAACTGATGGTTAAACATGGCTTCGTGCTCTTTTTGTGGGTAAATGTTTCTTTGGGTGCTGTGGCATATTGAAAACAACTTTGGGATTACCAGTTCAATCTCAGTTGGGCCCCTAGAAGTCTAACAGCCAGATTGGGAACCACTTTGGCCATTGAGGCTCGTGCTGGGTGTGCTTTGGGCGAAGGTAGTGGAGAATACAAATCTGAAGGAGCTGACCTGCTTCCTGGTAAATTTTCACCTGGGGATTAGGAAGGACTGAATTAGATGTTTCTTCTCAGTCCCACTGGTTTCTTTAGCAACAGATTGTTTCCTGCCCTGAAGTGTAGAATGAAGCAGCCAGTTAGATGCCATGGCCCACTCTGGGCTGCACTTTGTTCCAGTTAGATTTTATTGGATAGGAACAGGGGAGAGGAGGATTTACTCTTCTTTTTTGTGGGAATTGCTTCCCAAGGGCAGACCCTGTTCTGTCTTCTGTGGCACTCTGTGCTTTGTAAATATTTGCAGAATGAATGGAGTTCCTGTTGGGTCCAGGTACCATGCTGAGCACTGGAGAGAACTGGACCCAGTTCCTAGCCCTGGGAGTTCTGACAGTCTGATGGGGAGACAAATCCAGTTCATAGACCAGCCTGAGTGCTACGGTGGAGGTGTTCATGGCCCTGCGGATGGGCTCTGACCACCCAGCTTTGGGAAGGGAGAGTCTAGGAAGGCTTCCTGGAGCATGTGAACATAGTGACAAGCCAGGCAGAGAACTGGGGAGAGCGTTTCAGGCAGAAGGAGCAACAGGAGTGCACCCATTTTAACAGTTGAGAGAACTGCAACTTTGGTCCCAGGGCTCCCGTGGTACCACACTGGCCCTCCAGGACAGGACCAGAGTGACTTTTTTCAGATCTACAAGTGGTCAGGGGGGCCCTCAGTGGGTTGTAATTGGTGGGTGGGGGCTGGGGGTGGAGCTGACCTCCACACCCTGCTGGCCTAACACCCTTCGGTCCTCTGTGTGGCAGGTCCGGTGTGGGTGCGGAGATGGCCAATGAGAATCACGGCAGCCCCCGGGAGGAAGCGTCCCTGCTGAGTCACTCCCCGGGCACCTCCAATCAGAGCCAGCCCTGTTCTCCAAAGCCCATCCGCCTGGTGCAGGACCTCCCAGGTACTGGCGAGGGGCAGGGTAGGGTGGTGGGGTAGGAAAGATGCCCCAGGAGCAGCCCTGACCCTGGCCGGGTTCCATGCTTGTTTGCAGAGGAGCTGGTGCACGCGGGCTGGGAGAAGTGCTGGAGCAGGAGGGAGAACCGTCCCTACTACTTCAACCGATTTACCAACCAGTCCCTATGGGAGATGCCTGTGCTGGGCCAACATGACGTGATTGTGAGTGCCAGCCTAGGGCAGGGGTCTCAAAGCAGCTTCTGGCGTCTGGGCCTTCCCCCAAACATCTTGAGCAGCTATTATGAGCCTAGTCCTGTGTTGGGACCTGGGGATATAGTGATACACAAGAGAAGACCTATTCCCTGCTAGCAAGGAACCTGTACTCGAATAGGGGAGACTGACCTGTAAAGAGACGATTGTAAATAGTATGTGATATTGAACTACCTGTTACTGTGCCTGTAATGCAGTTGTGAGCCAAGACAGACATGGTCGTTCCCTTGTACTCTCGGGGGGCCCACAGTCTACTGAGGGGCCAGTACAATTACATTTGGCTTGTGTATGAAGAATAGTGTTAGAGTACGGCAGGGACCATGGTCCAGTTTGGGGGAGGGGAGTGGACAGGACGGGACAGGAAAGCGTCTCTTTGAATTAGCATTTAAGGTGACAGAGTTAGCAAAGAGAAAAGTTGTTAAGAGGGGAGAAGCACGTTCTAGAAGTGGAAAGGTCAGTGTGATAGGGAAGTAGCAACACGGGCTGTCTGCCAGAAACGTGGGCTTTTGGATCCCTGTCAGTTGGGGTGACCTTTTTTTTCTGGGCATAATCAAGCTAGTTGGCACTCCCGTTTTGCAGATGAAGACACTGAGGCTCAGAGATGGGAAATGATTGGCCTGAGACCTCAAGCCAGTAAGAGGCAGAGCTGGACTCAAACCTCTTAGGATCTCAGGGCCACCCTGCCTACCATCATGCTTCTTTTTGGTGTTGCCAAAGGCATTCTACCCACAGGGCCTTGCTTTTTCAAACACAAGCATTTCTTGACTCTTTCCTTTATTCCTGACTCTCTGGTATTTAAGGAATCAATGTGTACAATGTGTTTATCTCATACCAGAGGTCATGTTAAGCTGGTCATATTCACTGACTCATTTAATCGTCTTCCCAGTGGGAGGTTGGGCCTGTTTAGCAGGAGGGCCATTTTGAATGTGAGGGAATTAGGACAGGATGGAACTCCGCCAAGGTCACATGGTTGCAAGCAGCCAGTGGGACTGGAGCCCAGCGTTCTTTCTGCCTCCCAGTCTCTGAGCAGTAGGAGCAGGGGTCAGGAGGGCATCAGGATTCCGTATTACCGGGACTCCTAACCCACTGGCCCCGGTTGCAATTCTGCTGGTCTCCCTCCACCAGTCGGACCCTTTGGGGCTGAATGCGACCCCACTGCCCCAAGACTCCAGTTTGGTGGAAACCCCCCCGGCTGAGAACAAGCCCCGAAAGCGGCAGCTCTCGGAAGAGCAGCCAAGCGGCAATGGTGTGAAGAAGCCCAAGGTGAGTGCTGGCGGGCTCTGAGGACCTGGCTGGCAAGTGGCCAAGCCAGGCGGGCAGCCAGCAGCTTCCCTGCAAAGGCCGGGCAGTGGCAGGTCGGTCAGGAGCGGGGCCTGGGCACAGCTCACTGGGTTTGGCGCTGGGACCATAGGCTGACTCTCCTGACCCTGATGCCTTCTCCTTTTTTGCTCCAGATTGAAATCCCTGTAACACCCACGGGCCCATCGGTGCCTAGCTCCCCCAGTATCCCAGGAACCCCAACACTGAAGATGTGGGGGACATCCCCTGAAGATAAACAGCAGGCGGCTCTCCTCCGGCCCACCGAGTGAGTCCTTGCTATAGTCCCTTGGGGGCACGCACTGATGCGGCCTGCGTGCCTGGGAGGTGCCTGGGAGACTGGGGTGTGGTGGCAGCCAGGGCACCCCTCCTTCCCTTTCCTCTACTGTCCTCGTTGCTCTTTTCTGTGCCCCAAGGGTGTACTGGGATCTGGACATCCAGACCAACGCGGTCATCAAGCACCGGGGGCCTTCAGAGGTGCTGCCCCCGCACCCCGAGGTGGAGCTGCTGCGCTCGCAGCTCATCCTCAAGCTTCGGCAGCACTATCGGGAGCTGTGCCAGCAGCGAGAGGGTAACTGCCTCCGGGGCCCCAGAGCTCTGTTTCCACCCGCTGCGAGCAAGAACCGGGCTTGGGGAATGGTGCAGGGGAGCCTAGTGGCCCAGAGCATAGGCAGTGGATGGGGACAGGCCTGCTTGGAGCCCCAGCTCCTCTAACCGCTTCCAGAAAGGGTGGCTGGCGTCAGTAACTACAAAAGGAATCGTTAACACTTCCAGGGTGCTTCGTTTGCCAGGTATCATTTGAAGCCTTTTTATGTATCTGTGATACAAAAACAGAAGTATCTGTCCTGATGGCCTTGCTACTACTAGGAGTAAGAGGAATGGAAAGTCCTCAGTAAACTGCAGCTTTTATTAATTAGTAAATAAGCCTGCTTAACTTTGCTGGAATATAGTGTTTCTCTTTTCCCCTTTTACCCTAAGGATCATCTAACAACACCCTTTATAAAACTAGCGATTCTTAGAATATACTTTGGGAGGTGTTGCCTGGAACATGAGCTCCTGACTTAACAGGCTGTCATTCACTGTTGCACCTCCAGTGCCCACACGATGCCTCCTGTCTAAAGCCAGACCTTCACCAGCTCTTCTGTCCTGCAGGCATCGAGCCCCCTCGAGAATCCTTCAACCGCTGGATGCTGGAACGCAAGGTCGTGGACAAAGGCTCTGACCCCCTGTTGCCGAGCAACTGTGAACCGGTCGTGTCGCCCTCCATGTTTCGCGAAATCATGAATGACATTCCCATCAGGTACACCTGCGCAGCTGGGGCCAGCTAAGGGTTGTGTAGCCAGTTCTGCATCGAAGGGTCCTAACTCTATCCGTTCTCTGTCCCAGGTTATCCCGAATCAAGTTCCGGGAGGAAGCCAAGCGCCTGCTCTTTAAATATGCAGAGGCTGCTAGGCGGCTCATCGAATCCAGGTTTGCTCTCTCCTGCCCCCAGCAAGCTGGGTGTGTGATCAGAGTGGGGAGGTCCTGGGCCATGTGGCCCATCTAATGGAGTGCAGTCATTGCGCTTGGTGGCAGGAGGAGGGCTGGCTCCCAAAGGCAGAACAAGAGCCCGAATGTCAGTGCAGGTGGGGTGGGAGGAGTAAGGAGTGTGGACAGATGCCTGATAGCTCCCTCCACCGGCAGGAGTGCGTCCCCCGACAGCAGGAAGGTGGTCAAATGGAACGTGGAGGACACCTTCAGCTGGCTGCGGAAGGACCACTCTGCCTCTAAGGAGGACTACATGGTGAGTGGCCCCGGGTGAGGAGGCCTGTGGAAAGGCTCTGGGGTTGCTTCCTCCAAGAAGCCCACTCTGCCTGCCCAGGCCAGGCGGAGCCCCACAGCATCCTGTTCCTGTGCACTTCAGTAAACCTTTGATGCTCATTGGTCCCTAAACTCCTGCATGTAGAGAGGTTTGTCCAGGTTCCTGGCTCTCTCCTAAAAGACTCTCTTCGTTAAGGTTCTTAACAGAATCCCGTGCTCAGCCACACACCATAGGTAGCTTTTTCAACTTAACGTTCAGCGTCTCCCTTGAATAGATTTTTGGACACAGATTGACAGACTGCCTTTTCTGGGGTGTGTGCGCTCATCACAGTTACGAGCTGGCACAAGACTCATTTCCCTACTTTACTGTGTCCACAACAGTTCTGTTTTCTGGCCCAGACCTGTCACTTCTCTAACTGTCCACCAGCACTAGCAATGGGCTTTCTTTTCAGGACCATTTTTCACAAGAGACAAGGTTTCGCACTTCACGATAGTAACTGTACTTGACACGTAGAGTGACAAAGGTAGGTGTGCTCACTAGCCAGAGTGACTCATTTTCACTCATCACTTTCACACGTGTGATTCAGCAAAATTACAAATGCCTAGTTAAATCCTTGCAAGTTGCTAAAAGCTCAAATTTCAAATCTGCAATGACCAAGGACCCCATTTTGTAATGGTGTCTCTCCCTGATAGTTGGCAAATGCTTTATAAGCGGGGACTGTGCCTGGTTTGTGTGTTTCCCCAGCAATTATCATGGGATCTGGCACAGTGTAACCCCAACCATAGGTGCTGGCATTTATCGGACACTTGCTGTATGCCAGGGGCTTGGTAAGCCCTTAATGGGAATGATCACATTTAATACTTAAACTGCCTTATCAGGTAAGTACTGTGTGCTCCCTTAACAGTAGAGGAATTAAGATTCAGAGATGCCAAGGGACTTGTCCAAGTGACACAGCTAGTAAGTAACAGCCGGTTTCAAAGCGAGGACTGCTAGAATCCACCAGCCCTCCCTCAACAGCCACCTAGAGCCCTGATCAAGAGTGTCTCCTCCAGGACCGCCTGGAGCATCTGCGGAGGCAGTGTGGCCCCCACGTCTCGGCCGCGGCCAAGGACTCTGTGGAGGGCATCTGCAGTAAGATCTACCACATCTCCCTGGAGTATGTCAAACGGATCCGAGAGAAGCACCTGGCCATCCTCAAGGAAAACAACATCCCAGGTGAGGGGCCAGTGGCAGGGAGCCAGCTGTGATGCCGTCAACGGTGTACCCCAGGCCCTGAGTGAAGGGACAAGCAAGGCTGAGCCTCTAGGCCACAGCTGGTTTGGGCAAGCCCGTTTCTCCCGGCAGTGTCTGAGGCAGGCCCTGCTGTCTTTCGGTGCAGGGTTCCCAGCACTCCTCCAGGAACTGGAGAAGGGTTGGGAAAGGGGGAGCTGGAAGGTGGTGGACACGACAGGCCGGGGGTAAGCAGTTAGGTGGACGACTTGCAATTACAGCTGCTTTCTGCAAGCCCCGGTTCCCCCACCCTGCAGGCTAATACCCAGCCTTAGGATCATACGAGAACTCAGTGGCAATTCGAAGCGCTTGACCCAAAAAGATGCCTAAGTAGGGTACCGTAACCACGGACGTGCCACAGTTCTACTTCCACGTGGCCAACCGGGGGTTTGTGTCGGTATGCAGCATGGCGACACAGGCCACCAGTTCTTGCCCCTGGCAAGAACTTTGTTCTCAAATCATCTGAGCTGCATTCTGCTCCTCCGTGGGATTAGACTTACCTCCCTTGGTTACTGGGGTACGTGTGTGAGCACACAGGGGGCAGAGGCCGTCCGTCCGGGGTGAGGATTAGCAGAGCCGCTGCAGGGAGGCCGCTCATTGCTCTCCCTGCCCACAGAGGAGGTGGAGGCCCCAGAAGTGGAGCCCCGCCTGGTGTACTGTTACCCGGTCCGGCTGGCCGTGTCTGCGCCCCCCATGCCCAGCGTGGAGATGCATATGGAGAATAACGTGGTCTGCATCCGGTATAAGGGGGAGATGGTCAAGGTCAGCCGCAACTACTTCAGCAAGCTGGTAAGAGCTAGGGTGAAGGGGAGGCAGGTCCCCACAGGTGCAAGAAGTGAGGGCTGCCTCCTCCTTGACCCCGCGTCCTCAGCAAGAGGCCAGTTATGAGGGAGTGAGGGGCCGCTGTGTAAGGGCCTTGCTCTCTGTCCCACAGTGGCTGCTTTACCGCTACAGCTGCATTGACGACTCTGCCTTTGAGCGGTTCCTGCCCCGAGTCTGGTGTCTTCTCCGACGGTACCAGGTATGGGCCTGGGGCAGCTGGGGGTGGGCTCTTCTAGACACAGGGGGAAGGCTGAGCCCTGGAGGCTGACCCTGGCCTCTGTGTAGATGATGTTTGGCGTGGGCCTCTACGAGGGGACAGGCCTGCAGGGATCGCTGCCCGTGCACGTCTTTGAGGCCCTCCACCGGCTCTTCAGTGTCAGCTTTGAGTGCTTCGCCTCGCCCCTCAACTGCTACTTCCGCCAGTACTGCTCTGCCTTCCCAGACACAGATGGCTACTTCGGCTCCCGCGGGTGAGAGCCAGGGGCTGCTGGGACCCCTCTGCCCAGGCCCTGGAAGGGGTCCTCTAGAGCATAGATTGCACCTGGGCCAGCTACTTGGGATTGGGCAGTGTTGGGTGTAGTCCCTGCCTTCACCCCTTGCTAGCTGTGTGACCTTGGACTTCTCGCTGAACTTCGGGAGCCTGTGATAGTCCCTAACTCATCTTGTGGGTTTCTCTGTGAATAAGCCCAGGCTGGGATAGGAGCATGTGGTTCCCGGCACTGAGAGGCATGGGAAGCGGTAATTCAGAGATCATTCAGACCTCGGGGACTTTACAGACTAATGTGAGGTGTTGGAGGGGGGTGAGCATGGGTGAAAGGGGACACAGCTTCCAGTAGGAAGACCAGCCTGGGCCAGCAAGAGGGAAAGCACAGCAGCTGGGAACTCCTGGCTGTGGCTTGTGCTGTGGTGGCAGCGGGGCTCGAACTGGATCTGAGCTCCAGCCATTCCACTAAGCAGCCTGGTGGACTTGGCTGCCCAGCCCGAGCCTCTCCGTCCTCAGCACTCCAGTGGAGTCGGCCACACCTTGTCCCAGGATGAATTAAGGGTGAATGTTGGCCTGTGGCCTGACCAGGGCCATCCTTTCAACGAGGTGGGGGCGGCACCTGTTTCCAGTTGAGGGCTGGGATTCTGGCAGGACTTAGAGTGCTCACCTCCATCCCCAGGCCCTGCCTGGATTTTTCCCCGCTGAGTGGTTCCTTTGAGGCCAACCCTCCGTTCTGCGAGGAACTCATGGATGCCATGGTCTCTCACTTTGAGGTGGGTGTGCTGCTGGCGGTGGGGGTGGGGTAGGTTGGCAAGCGGGATCGCCAGCCACCCGGAGGGCAGCCTCTGATGTCCACCCCGTACCCCCTCCCACAGAAACTGCTCGAGAGCTCCCCGGAGCCCCTGTCCTTCATCGTGTTTATCCCGGAGTGGCGAGAACCCCCCACACCGGCGCTCACCCGCATGGAGCAGAGCCGCTTCAAACGCCACCAGCTGGTCCTGCCTGCCTTTGAGCACGAGTACCGCAGTGGCTCCCAGCACGTCTGCAAGAAGTGGGTGCCTGGGGAGGGCAGGGGCAGGAGGGCTGGCCGATCGGGCCGGGCCAAGCCCCACCCTGAGCTGCTCCTTTGCCCACAGGGAGGAAATGCACTACAAGGCCGTCCACAACACGGCCGTGCTCTTCCTACAGAACGACCCTGGCTTTGCCAAGTGGGGGCCGACGCCTGAGCGGCTGCAGGAGCTGAGCACCGCCTACCGGCAGTCAGGCCGCAGCCACGGCTCCAGTTCCTCGTCGTCTTCCTCCGAGAACAAGGACCGGGACTCCGGCCGCGAGCAGGGCCCCAGCCGCGAGCCTCACCCCACTTAACACATCCTGCGGGGAGGAGGAGCCCCAGGGTGCTGGTACGGACGGCTGGGACTTGGGCCTCTTGGGGCTGAGCAGACCCCAGGACCCTCCCCCTGAGGTGGCAGCAGGACTCAGGCTGCCAGTGACATAGGAAGATTATGGCTCTGCCAGGGCTCCCCCTCCCTGCCCGATCCCCTGACTCCTCACCTCAAACTCGCTCCAGCTCCCGTGTAAATAGGCCCCATCCCTTCCCTTCCTACCCACCCCCCACCCCCTCACCCATACCATCTTATTGCCACCTCGTTTCATTTGTAAAAGGAAATACAGAAGCCTCCCTAAGAACGCGTGAGGGTCTTGAGGGCAGAGAAGGCGGAGAGTCTGGAGCTAGTCCTGGGACCACACCCTCTACATTCAGGCTCACCTTCTGGACCCCTGGGCCTCCACGCCCCAGCCCCAGGATCCAGTGTCTAACTTCTCACCCTGCTGACCCCACAGTTGGGTCCCTGGTGGCCTCTGCCTGTGTCCATCGGGTCTGAAGAGTCCAGAGCCCAGCACCATCCATCTGTAAGTCCCAGACTCCCACAGCCAGGCCTGCCCTCGTACCTCTAGGGAGCAGAGGACGGGAGGCTGTGCCCAGGTAGCGAGCTAGACTCCTGCTTGACCTGCAGCCACCACAGTGAGTGAGCAGCCAGGTATGCTTCACAGTCAAGGGTCAGGAGGAAGAGCAGCTCTGAGCCACCATGGGCTTCAGGGTATGGCCTCTGTACAGACAGGCACCCGGCTGAGCTGTCCTGAGGACCTCTAGGCATGGAGCAGATGTTTCCCTGGAGCCCAGGGGAGGAAGAGGGTCTGAAGGTGCTGGGGGGTGGGGGGTGAGGGGGCTCTTACCAGCTCAGCCATCTGTCCCAGTATCAGGCCTCTGCCCCAAGGGCCTGCCCTGCTGTCGGGCCACTGCACTTTGAGAGGCCGGGCAGGCCGCACTGTGGGGCTTGGCAGCTCCTGGGAGCTGTGACAGGCTCTTCCTCTGTTTCCCAAGTCCTTGCGGACAAAGTAAGATGGTCAGGACTGGACTCTGGTCCCTTTATTGAGACTGAGGGGCCAGTGGGTCCATCCATCCAAACAAAAATAAATTTTTCTCCCCAAAGCCTGCCTGCAGGCTAGGGCACCCAGCATGTCCTGGCTGGGGCCCATGGCTGTCCCCTAAAGCCAGCAGCACAGGTCTGGCTCTCTTAGAGTGACAGGATGCTGGCTGCCCAGTGTCTGGAGACCCTAGGTGGAACAGGGAGGTGAGTCCCACTGGGTCCCCCCACCCCTAATATGGCTGGCCCCAATATCCACGGTCTGCGTTGGGCCCTTGGGGCTCAGTCATCGGTCAGGGTGATGACGTCGTACTCGATGCCCTGGTGCTGCAGCTGTTGGATGTGTTCAGGCACTGCCTCTTCGGTGCCAAACAGGCCCTGGGCTTGGGCCATAGCAGCATCGGCCACCGCTGCCAGGGGAGGGGAAAGGACGGTGAGCCTGAGGCCCCAGAAGCTGGGCCTGGGTCCCCATGGTTTTCAGGGTCCCACCCCATACCTGTGACTGCTGAGTGTGCTGCCGCCTCCAGTTGGGCCTGTGTGACAAGCTGCTGGCCTGGGGACACGGGCACATACTGGATCTAGAGGGGAGAAGCCAGTGAGATGTGGCCTTGGAGGAGTACTGCCTGTGCCCCAACTCCGCACGATTCCCCAAAGGTCCTACCTGGGACTCCTGGAGGAACGGGGCCCCCTGTTCATACTGGATGTGTGTGATCTGGCCTTCCTGTACCTGGAGAGAGGAAGCCGATCTGGTGATTGAGGAGGCTGTCCACCCCTCCCCTCTTTCCCATCCCTGCCCAGGCCTGGCCCACCTGGATGTGATGGCCCTCTGGAACCACGACATATTCCTGGGGGAGCAGGTGCTGGACTCCGTCCTGGGAGATGATGTATTGTACCTGGAGAAGGGTAGAGAAGAGGCAGGCGCTGGGGGCCCTGCTGAACCAGGAAGATGGAGCAGGGGGCCAGGGTCACCCACCATCAACGATGGCAGCCTCACAGACCCTGAGAGGAGTGGTTGGGGAAGTACTGGTCCTCCCCAGAGTGGAGTCTGGGGGAGGGGCAGGGCAGGCTCTCCTGGCTGAGCAGGTGCTCACCTGGTTGTCAGAGGTAACCAGATGCTGTACTGTCTGGCCATCAGCTGTGGTGATCTCTTGGATATAGGTGGCTTCTTCCTGCCAGGACGAAGTCCGCTCTAGCCTCAGCTCTGTGACTTGCCAGCCCCCACCCCAGCCTGTGACTTGCCAGCAGGGCCCCAACCCAGGCTCTCACCTGATCGGTCACTGTCTGCTCTTGGGCGACAATGATGTGTTCCTGGCCCAGTGCCTGCTGTAGCCGCTCTGGCCCCAGGACCCCATGACCGGACTGGAGTGCAGCTGGGCAGAGAAGAGAGGGTGCTCACACAGCGGATCCAGGGAAACCGGAGGTGCCCCAGCACTCACCCTGGTCTCCCAGGGGTGGCTCACTGTGCAGCGTGGCCAGCGTGTCATCATCACTGTTCAGGATGATGGTCTGGGTGGGGGTCCGGCCTGGGGTCCGGGCAGTAGGTGTCCCCGCCTTTCTCCCATCAGGACTGTGCAGCCGCTGGATATGGAACTTGAGATGCCCATTCCGGTTGAAACTGTGGGGGAGGGAAGAAGGCTCAGGGCAGTCCCGTCACACGTGCCCAGCAGCCCCTACCCACCTGTCCCCAGCCTCACCGCTGCCCGCAGAGATGGCACGCAAAAGGCTTCTCGTTGGTGTGGGTCAGCATGTGTCGCCGCAGGTCCTTCTTGTTCTTGGAGGCAAAGCTGCACTGGCTGCACTGGTGGGGCCGCAGGCTCGAGTGCTGTGCCATGTGGGCCTGGAGCAGGAGCAGAGTCAGGGGCACTGGCCAGGTGAGGACAAGCAGCCTCCCACTGAGACAACTGTTGGGGAGTCTGTCCTCGGAAGAACTGGGTGACAAGTACAAACCAGACCAAGACCTGGTGCTGCTGTGTGCCAAGAGAGGGCAAAGTCACAGGCCCCGCCATTAGGTCACTTAGGAAGTCCTGTCCCTGCTTCGATTCAGGTTACTGCCATGTCACATAAGGTACAGGTTCAGATGAAGGAACCCCTCCCTGGAGGTCTCCTCCAGCCCTGATGTTCTAGGGTTCTAGGCCCTGCTCCCCTCACTGAGCTGCTGTGAGGAGCTGGTGCATGGTGGCAGTGAAAACTGGTGGTCCTCAAAAGGGACCCCCGCCTTCTACCCAGAACTACTCCCTCCTCGCCTTCTCCATGTTGTCTCCACCACCTTCCTCGTACCGTGTGCGTTCCCTATTCTAGATGCCTTGTGTTTCCCTAAACGTGCCTGGTGCTGCCGTGCCTGTGCCTTTGCCCCTACGGGCCCAGCCTGGTTGTTGCCAGCACCCCGAGTCCACACGACCTGTTCCCGGTTTGTCTCTGCTCCGCCATATGCATTCTGTTCACACTGGGGACACCGTGGGGCATTAGTCACACCATCTGGTTTGCTTCCCCACCAGACAGAGCTCCCTCAATGCTGAGGCCTCACAGAGTCCTCTCCGACCCCAGAGAGGGACAGCGGGCCTGGCTTGCGGTGTTCAGTTAAAGTCTGTTACACAAACAAGTGGCCAAATGAGCACCAGGGGGCAGCACCTACCCGGACCTCGGGCCACTGGCGGGCACTGAAGGGGCAGTCGGGGCACTTGAAGGCACTAGGCCCGGCGTGGGCTCGTTTGTGACTCTCCATCTCTGCTCGGCCAGGGAAGGCTTCAGCACAGATCTTGCAGGAAAACTTCTTTGATGATGCCGTGCCTGCAGGTGGCGGCGAGGGGGGTACTACCAGGCCCGGGGCTTTGCTGGCTGTAGGAGGTGGGGAGGCAGAGCCCTGGGGGTCTCCCACCCGGTGGGTCCTGGCTGGAGATGGGGGCTCAGGGCCATCTCTGGGCAGCCCCCCACACTGCAGCAGCGGCCACTTGGCTCCAGGGGCCAGCGAATCCGGACTCGGGAAGGAGATGGAACCATCCGCAGTCAGCTGTAGACAGATGGGGGAGCGTGATGGACTGGGGAGGATTGGGGGGGGGGGGGCAGCCACCCACCCCAAGCCTCACCTCAATGTGGTGCAGCTGCGTCCCATCGGCTGCCATGATATAGTGGGTGCCAGCTTCTTTCAGAGAGTCGCTCACGACCACGGCCTGGGCTGCCTCCCCTGGGGGCTCCTCGCTGTGGGCACCGAGGCGGGGGGAGGAGTGAGGTGGGGTTCTAGGAGGGGATGGAAGGCCACAGGAGTCCTCTTCCCCGAGAAAGGGAACTGAGGGATGATGGCGGTGAGGCAGCGAAGCCCAGCGCTCCAGCCCGGGTCTGGCCGAGTGCGGCAGCGGGCAGGCCAGCGCGGGAGGCAAGCAGGGGCCGAGAGTGGAGGGCAGATGTGGAGACTGGGCTGCCTGCCGCCAGCCCAGGGGTCCTGCTTTCCACCCCAGCCACACACTGTGGTACTTTGGTGCTTGGATTAAGGGCTTTCTTAGGCTGCCCAGGAGTGCAGCGAGCACACAGTCTTTCTGCCCTGAACTTGCTGGGTGTGGAGGACGCAGGGCAGCTGTCAGGCCTCCAATGCCAGCAAGGAGCCTGAGCTGGCTCTGGAGGTCAGAACTGGAATCACCCAGGTGTGTTCAGGGGTCACCCAGAACAAAGAGCACATGGTTTTGAAACCCAAAGTTCGACTCCTCACTACATATCTGACCTTAGGTAAGTTATTCAATGTCCCTGGCCTACTTCCTCACCTGTGAGATGAGGGACACCTGGATCTCACGAGAATGGTTTTGGTGAGTGCACCAAATGTTTAGGTGTTTGGGTCTAGTGCCTGGAACATCTAAGAGACCAAGAAATAGTAGCTTCCAACCTCCTAATAAGAGAGACTCCGATGGCTAATCACATGGTATGTATTAGGATTTTTGCCTCCTGCCAACTAAGCTCGAGCAGGCAGAGCCCTTCTCTGGCACCTCCCAGCATACCTTATAAATGGCCGAAGGGGGTCTTGCGGGCAGCAGGTCTCACCTGTAAGGTGTGCCAGGAGCCGATGTCCCCTCCTCCATAGGGGGTGCTGTGATGACACTGTAGCCAGTCCCACCAAATGGACCGGGTGCCAGGGTGATCTGGGGCAGGTCGGGCGCACCCAGCTGACTCTCCGCTGCCAGGCTGCTCCCCGGCTCTGCCACGTGGAGGGTGACCACTTGGGGAGAGGCACCTGCCGGGGAAGGCTGCTCGCCAGGGGAGGCTAACTCTGCTTCCACGTCC